TTTACATATTCAGGATATTCTTCACACTCGCAGATTACTCTTCTTTACTGATGAAAGCAAATTTAGATATAATATTACAGCTAGACGGTTTAGCGTTTTCTCCATAATTTATTTTAAAATGGCATATTTTCGAAGATCCTGTCTTCTCGTACAAATGTTTAAGATAAGGGTGTATTATATTGATTTCTGATATTTGCAGTGCAGTTACTTCCAATCGGATTTGAATCCCAGCCCCTGTGGCGGCCTGTTGGTTTAGGCGTCCGCATAGACAACATAAGTTGCCGGGTTCGAATCCCGATTGGGGAAACTGGTTTTCACACTTACAAACTCCTCTTCCTTAAAGTTCAACATTTGTATATAATTGATAAAATTACCACAAGGCAACATCGTTCCATAATTTATTAAAATGTAATTGCACTATATATACTGTCTCTTATACACATCTTACTGTCACCAAGTCATTTTGTTGCAATTTCTGTATGAAGTATTAAAACTATTGGACAAACCTAAATTGCTGAATTGTAGAATAAGATATATCGTTTTACTGCGTTGGCCAATGAGTCAAAAGAACGTTTTGTATGACTCTCTAGTCTAGGGCTATGCATATCCTATCGAGCACTGTTATTATTATTATTATTATTTTATCTAGGCCTATTTGTATATTGAGTTTACGACGCAGCAAACCTAATTTGAATATTATATAGGCCCATTATATGTATATATAGTGCTATATATTTTTGGGTATGTATAGTATAAGCCAAAACTTAAATTTATTACCGTCTAATTCATGTATTGTAAATAATAAAACGTTATTATTTATTTTGAATTTTTACAATTACCGCAAGGAATTTGTTTCTTTCTGATTTTCACTTGAAAGCTAAATATACAAAAGACATTGCATTCTAGTTTTCAGTTACATCAATACAGACAGATTACCTTAAAATGCTATAAAACATATAAATGTATACGAACTGCAAAATGAACTAGGCCTATATTTGGCGAGGCATGCATTTGATATAATGTAATTGTGTTTATATGCCGCCAACACATTCAGTGGATTGTCTTGACGGCTCATTTTTTTCTAATGCAGTGCAATTCATTTCATTTAAAAATCAACATGAACAATAAAATTACGCGGAAGTACAAAGAAGAGATCTACATAAGCGAAAAATGTTCACTTGAAGTCTAATAGGCTAACTTACTTTAACATTTATAAATACATGAGCATTTTATATATATATATATATATATATATATATATATATATATATATATATGCCTATATTATGCCTATATATATATCCACTGATGCAGAAATTATAGCTATCAGATAATGCTGGACATAAAATATGTTTTATCTAATATTAATAATAATACAGGTTCACTGCGATAGTTAGTGTGGCGAATAAAAAAGCTTAACATTTGCAAACATTCGTACAACATTATTCAAATATACAGTATTCAGTTTCTTTAGCTTTTGATTTATAGATCTACTTTACTTGCAATGATGACTCACTGCTGTGTCTACCGAATTGACCTCCAATTAATTAATTGTAAAATTTATATGGGAATTCGAGTTTTAATTGAAAAAAATTATAAAATAGAAATGTGTACTGCAATAAGCATAGGCCTATATAGAGACTAACAGCGAAGCAAAAATAATCATTGCAATAATGTTTAGGTTTGACTACTCTATATGACTATAGATAGGCATATAGGTATATGTTATACATAAAGAATACAGAACACAATTGTAAACCATTTAAACAATAATTATATTAGGTCTATATCAATTATTTCAATATTAGACAATTGGAGTGATTCAAAATGTATCTAATGATGGTTCACCGTCTTAAAATATGGTATAAATTAATTTTTTAAAAACCACATTATTATTATTATTATTATTGTTGTTTTTATAATTGTAACTATTGATAATACTATATTTGTATTATAGTCAATAGAAATAAACAATAATAGTAACACTAATAATAATAATAATAATAATAATAATAATAATAATAACAATAACTGTAATAGATTAGACCTAATACGTATATAATGAAAGCAATATATTTTACATTGGCAACTAGTCGTTCCACAAAACTGACTGTTCATTGAATATTTTAAATCAAGTAAATATGACAATATGTAATGGCTAAAATAACTCATCAGTCACACGCATTTGTGCTGGATTCCAATGGAAAGGCAATGCGCAGTCAGGTGAATATCATTGTTAATTCGGTATTCATTTATTCAGGCGTACTCATCAACGTATTCCCATATGTACTTACACAAACATCTATGCATTACCTGCACTGTTCACATTGGTGGAATAATTAAGAAACGTCCTTGATATTCAGAAAGTCAAAAGGAGGATATTATTTATTTCAATTGCCCTTAATTACTGATTGTTACAGAATGTGACATATTTTATTATATTACCGTATACCAGGGTACAATTGGAAATGTATACCATGTATTTCTATTAATTGATGTGATGATGATGATGATGATGATGATAATAATGATGATGATGATGTTGATGAGGATGATGGTTACAAATAATAATAATCGTAATTATCATTGACATCGTTATCAAATAATGTAGTATGCAATAATAATTATTAATTACTATTATTGCATAATAATAATTATGTTATTATGCAATGAGTATTTCATGAATAAATATAGTAATTTCATAATCTATATCACCATCATTATCAACTATCATCGGTATAACAAATAATCATCATTTTATATAACAATATGAGTTATTGTGTAATGGATAAAATAATAGAACCATACGGCTTTTATCAAGTGAAATAATAAATAATAGGATTATTATGATTTTTATTATCAAATAATCATAATCATCATAGTCATCATCATAATTATAATCATAAACATCATCATCAGCAGCAGCAGCATCAGCATCAGCATCATTACCACCCCTATTTATAAGCATCATCTTCATTCTCATCATCATCATCAGCATTCCCATGATCCTCATGGTTATCATCATCATTCATGTACGTATATGTATATACATACATGGATGTATAGTTTGTGAATATCAGTACAAATATAAAATGTGTTCAATGTGCGTTTGAAAGACAAACAATATTGCCTTTGATTGCACTAGATTTTTCTTTGCCTTTTTAAACTTTGAAGTAACCTTAGCAACTAACCGACAATATCGGATATTTTCACGCAACATCATACCTATAATAATAGTCGTCAGTTTATAACAACTTAACGTTGTCGAGACACCTGCAACGTGAAGAAGTACAGACAATTATAATAATAACACTAGTAACTATTCTGAGATAATCTGAAGAGAATCGAATGTAAATGCAGGGAGGCGAAAAATAACTTCAGTTGGATGGTAATAAAAACATGGATACGACTTGATATTGACTTATTGGTACATTGCTGCTGTTGTTGTCGTCGCCGTGTTGTGCCCTTTGATTATGTCACTTTTCTTAGATTTGTCTTGTAGAGCCTGCAGTAGCAACGCCTTGTGTTAAAAAGCTCTCGTTAAGGAAACTTCCAATTCTTGTTTGTTATTTTTAATATATTTAATGTTTTATTTAATATAAAAATAACGTTAAAAAGAAAAGATCGACGTTTTGACTCCTTCATGGTGTCATTTTCAAGATCAAACTATGAAGTATAGAATATACAGCAACATAATCAATAGAAAAAAGCTAATCTACAATGTCAAAGTTCATAACAGTGGGATATTAATCCATGTGTTAGATAAAAAGCTTTGCTTTGACAGAGTCACATTGTTTATTCAGACTGGGTTTTAATTGTCTAATAAATAGCATTTCATGAATGAGACAGTCAAATTTGTTCCTACATTTCTTTAAAATGCTGAAACGTGACTCAATACTGCTTGGGCTGATATGATGGTCCTTAGCATGTTGTCCTAACAGAAATCTTTTATGTTTAGCAATACGTTGGTAGAGGTGTCGGTTTGTGTATCCGACATAACTTGCAT